TCTAGTTACTGAATAGTTATGCAATATTAGTCCATTAATAGTCTACAGAAATTGACCATCATTTAATCTTCTTAATTTGTCTGCATTCTGTACAAATCGTCTCAATATTATTATTTTGTCAGAAAGTTCTATCCATTGAACCTATCGACGAATCAACGTTAGATTACCATTGAAATGTTGGGAGAAGTGGACTGCTATTTCGTGGTAGCATGTAACTACTGATCAGTGCACGTTCAAAATCTCGCACACGGCACTCGGAACATAAGATCTTCGTTTACTGAAGAATACTTGACCTCTAGACCCCTGAGTTTTAATCCGATGGTTTTAGTATGTAAATTCAACATTGATTGTTTCATGATTTCAATGAAATTCAACAATCTCCACAACTCTCTACTGTAGATAAGATTTTATAATGACATATTTTATCTACTAGCGGAGTACCAAACACACGTTTCACCCAATTTCTAACTCTTTAGATAGAGACACTTAGATGTCAGTTTGAAAATCTAACCCCACAAATAACACGATCGTTAAGACTAGTGTACATAGTGAATGATTTGAATATATATATATAGAAAGAGAGAGAGGGAGAGAGAGACGAGATGCCAGAAAATGGGATAATATATCACTAGTATAATTATTTACAACATATACTATGCTTACTCTGCAAACATCATTCATATCAGGGCAGATCGCATTTCCGTCAATTCGCCTAGTTTTTATTTTGGCTATACCAGAAATACATGGAAATGTTTCACCATCAACGACGATTTGAACAGTACGTGAACATTTGTACTGAAAAATATCAAAATCAATTTTGCAGAAAGCAGATTATCATATGAATATAATTCGATGGAAGTTTACCAAGTTTAATCCATTAAGAATAATGCTGAGTAATGTAGACTGTTCACTCTATTGTATATATATATATATATATATATATATATATATATATATATATATATATACGATCGAGAGGACGAAGTCAACGGCCTATGCTCCATTGGGAGTAACAGGCGTAAATAATTAAGTAAGTAAGTAAGTAATATTCTGTAATCCACTTGATCTGTCTATATGCTTGTTCAGTATCGATCTTTGACATGACTCAAATCGAACGACTTATAGAGTCAAGAATTCAATGCATCTAATCATTTTAGATTTGAAGCTATTCTGATGAGAACGAATGTATCCAGCATTCATGTTAATGTCTATATAACTAATGAATTGTTTAGTGAAATAGTGACTATTACTTATAGCCACCATCACTAATTTCTAGATTGTAAGGATTTGAAGAGAATCGACATAACAGAAGAATTTATATTATATTGTTATAATACTTAATCTCAGATTACCAAAACAATATAAAACTCCTATTCAAGAAATACTTGGTTAGATCAATTCAGAGAACTTTTTAATACAGGCAAACTACAACTATTGTTTTCCATATGCTCAATAATCACTCCGAGATTGAAAGATAAATTGCCGAGGCTAACCACTTCTTTCTGTATCTATCAATTCAACTGCTCCTGTGGAGTAAGTTATGTTGACAGATGTTCTAGGAATTTGTATATTCGAGCTCGTGAGCACATTCCAGTGTGGTTAAGCCAAGGTGTAGTTAAAACAGTTAACAGCCTCATTTTAGCTCATTTCATTCAAACAGGACATACAGCCAACATGAAGCAATCATTCACTATCATATATTGTGTTAACAGCAGTCTACCTAATTCCGTCACACTGAGAATCTTGCAGAAGGCTGAAGTAATGGCTATTCGAATCAAAAAGCCGGAACTTTGTATCCAAAAATATGTGTTCAACTGCTGCTTTTACCCTGGTCAACTAGTTAATAATCAATTTTATAATATGGTGATGTAATGTGACTAATGTCCATTTTTATAGCAATTAGTTCATTTTATAAATTTTGATAGAACAATGAGAAGACGGAGTTGATCTGATGAGAATGTGACGTATTTGCGCTATACATTTCGAACTATCTGTTCATACATAGGTAATAGAATGACTTAAGGATTACCACGGTAAATTCATCGTTACGACAAATTGTGTTTGTAAACACATGGGGGGGGGGTAAATTTACGAATAGCCAAGACTTCAACAAACTTGAGAATTCGTCCTTGACAATATCTATACAACGTTTTAAAAGCTGTATTAATGTCAATTTTGTGCCCCGTTTCAATTATATGTTTCACTATCGATGAACATGGCTTTCTACCTCTCACGTTGATTGGATAATTTGACACTAATTGGTTTTGAAGCCATCTAGGCACATGTTGAATGATTGCATTTTTCGAATACTCCCCCTATGTATATGTCCACACAAATATGTAAAATGTAAATGCATTGGGATGTGACGTAATCATTTGTGCATTGTTTAGGTCTGTAGCGTCAACAGCCCTGAACAAGTCCACCAGTAGTTGACATGCAGCTGGTGTAAGTCACTCCTGAAGACGACGTATTTGTGTCCCCCAGCCGATAATTATTTTCTTACGACAATCAGATCAGTATTTCTGGACTCTCGCTTTCATTCAGCATCCAAAGAGAAGAAGTATACTAAATATAGATCTCAATACAGATGTTTTCCTATTCAGCGTATACAGCCTCAGAATTCAATGAGATGTCTCAACAAAGTTTGTATTACTTTGTTTCAGGAGCGTCGCTGCAGGTCGAAAAGCATTTGACCGGACGCTTTCCATAAGATTGGTAAACGAAATGCATAATATTGAATGCTGCTGTCCCAACTGTTTCAAATTCATTCCCCATTAACCTGTGCATCCACGAATTGTGATGAACTTTAACACGAACAACAGTCCAGTAGCCTTCAATAAACTTACAAAAATAAAGGCTGGACATTGAGTGTTCATGGAAGTCCTTTCACAAGTTCTCAGCTTGTATTTCACAATTTACTATGGTCCATAATTTGAAGAAAATATGCTTTGTCGACAAATATTGACATTTTACATCAATTTTAAGAAATAAATGACCAATTATAACGAATTTAATTGGATGAAACAGAATGAAAATTCTTGGAAAATCGGATGGAAACATTTTTCATAAAGGATGAAAAAAAATACAAAAACGGCCGTGCGTTTAATGATATTCGGATCACTTGACATTAATTGGTTTTGAAGTCATCTAGCATCTAATCATCATGAGCACACATATGAAATCAATAATACAGTGCTACTGTTGAAGACGTTTGCCATGGATATCCAGTTAATTTTAATCAATTTTTCTAAAACTAGCTACTAATTCTAATCATGTTCATAAATAGATGCTCCGAATGCCCTGGTACGACCGAGAGTGGGGACAGTCTGCTCTCCCTCTCGAAACGCTCTCACGAGGCCACGCGTATTTGGCCTCTGCCAAGAAAGTTTCACTCACTGCCTTCTCGTGGCGTAGGTGTTGAGAGAGGACAAAACCGAATGTCCGACGTTTTAACCGGGTTAGTGGACATGGAGAGTCCACCTAGGGGAGTTGGAAGACGCTGGTTTCAAACCAATGTTGCGTATGGGCTCCAGTATCCTGAGGGAACAAATGGCGTAGGAACCAATCATTGGTCAACGGCTAACATGGGACTGCATCTCCTTACGATGCTCCACTGCCTTGTGGATCAGACCTTTAGGTCGAAGGCTCCTGGTGTGTCCCCATAAGAAAACCCCCAGTTTCGGTTTGGGCACCCAAGTAGTATCCCGTCCCTCACACAAATCAAATGAGATTTATGGGGCGCATTTGTATTTGGTGCCTCCTTGTACCAATATCTGTGTCCAAATCAATAAATATCATGAATAGACGGGATAGGAAGATAATCATTATTAAAGTTTCATAATCTCCGAAGAAATTCCTATCATATGCAAAACACAATTATTATGAATGAGTAGAATATTCATTTCAATGAATTTCACATCAGATACTTCACAATTATTTCATATCCCAATTAATTATCCATAAAATTGGTCAGGTTGAAGGCAGAGTACATCATTTAAAATTGTAATGGGTGAATTAAGGATTGTTTGGGTGACTAATATGAAATTGTTAACTTGAATCAGTTTATAAGTGAAATGAAATTGTGAGACAAATAATAATCAGAATAAATATGGTCAACATAAGGTGTGTGTGTGAGGGGGAGAGCGAGAATAATCTAATTACAAATCACTTGGTGTTGTTTTACTTGTATCTCCCTATTATCGTTAAGGACTGAAATTGATCATCAATCTCTTACTGGCATAAATGCATCTTGTGCAAACTGCTTTGATATAGCCTTAAGTCATAAGCGTTTTAAGCAAAGATGGATAGTGGCTGGCAATGGAATCCAAGACGCGTGTTTCGTACTATTTGGAACTCGTCAGCTAGGCACTTGTTCAGTGACCCTTGATTACATTGTTCGATTACTCCTCTCTATATATGTGCGTCTACACAAACATGTGCATTTTTTAAATAAAATGGGATGTGACATAATCATCTGTGCATTGCCTAGGTCTATTTGGAATCATCAGCTAAAATTTTTCAATCACAACCAATTGAGCAGTATAATAGGTTTTCAGCGATGACTGCTTTCAATCTCTGTCTTAACACTATAGTAATGGATTCACCTCTATATGATAGATGGATAATAAAATTTTCTTCTTTGGAACTGAATACATAAGAGGTTTTGGTATGAACTAACTTTTGCACATATTAATAGACTTTAATGGATAACCATTTGCTATTAATGTGTCAGTCAGTAACTTTTATATATTTTTTTATTTTAACACATAGATACTGTTTCAAGGAGGCAACAAATAATGAAGACTGACTGAATGTATTGCTTATACTGTAAAACAAATCAAAGAGTGAAGTAAGCAATGAGGTTGTCCACTTCATCATAATCTATACGTTTCTTACTGATTATTCTAAAACTGTATTAATGTGTATCATTTCATCTTAGTCATAGAATGTAATTCATAAATTTAATTTGGATTTTAGTGGAATCTTTATGGAATTATAGATTATAGTTGTTTTTTTTTTAAAATTACATCATGACAAGTTGCTTTAACTCGAGGATCTTGTGTTAATTTTCCATTCATTTCAGCTCTCCAAGCTCCCATGTGTGGAATGCATATCGATCTATTCCCAAAAGCTTGACCAAACATATTTCCTCTTTGTGCTAACATAAACACAAAACAAACAAAATAAATGATCGTTGTTATTATTAACAATATCAATTGAGTGTAATGTATGAGAAAGAGTTTTGTAGATATTATGGTAATTTTAATAGTTGAGATTATGAGTTAACTGAAGCTAAACCACTATGGGAAACCTGGAAGTATGGGACTTCTCAGCAGTATGCATACACGATCCCGACTAATGAGATTCCAATCCACGACCTATCAGTCTCGCGCACGAACGCTTAACCTCTAGACCATTGAGCTAGTTGGCATCCAACGGTATTATTGACTAACTTCAACTAATTCACGAAATTGAGCCGCCGTCTACCATTGTCTTCAATGAGTTTCTACCTCACAACAGACCCGGTTGAACTCCACTGATCGTGCTTCTCACTAGAACTTTAGGACATGTAATACATGTTCCAGAAATCATATCAACACATTACGTAATCTTACAAATATAATGTGTTAGAAGAGATCAATATCTATTGTCTGTTTCCTTATGTTTAGGGATTTCTATTTCCTATAAACAGGATTATTTGTGAATAATGAACGAATGTATGATCATTGAAACTAAACGTGGTCTAAAATTGTACTCCATCGTAATTAATAACTAGTAGATTCGATTCAAATCAATCACCGACAACATCAGATATTAATTTCGTAAAATATTCCGTTAGGTATCACAGTCCTTAGACTTTGAAATGTAGATGAATTTTGAAATTCATTTATTGTAAAGAAGATATTCATGGTTTATCAATGATTATATTTCTGCATATGTTTGTTAAAACTGCCCCTACATAACTGTGAAGAGACCAAGAAAGAACATGAATATTCAATAATTCAAGTGACGCACACTGTTCATAGAATCCACTCAAAATGCCAATAGAGTTACTAGCAGCCTGAAAATTCGGTAAAGGCGAGGGTGGGGAGTAGGTTAACTACCTCATCTCATAAAAAAGGACATAGCCAATAAATGCTAGTGAGTGTTGCAGGATCCAATCAAATGTATCAAAACTTTATTGTCTAAAAATATTCAAGGCATCTGAAACTCTAGCTATCCCTGACATTAAACTCAAACTTGAGTGGTAAAGTATTATGTCTTATACTTTTCGTTATCGTGACAACAAACTATTATTATTGTTGATGTCATTGTTATTATCGTAACTATTTCAGTTCATCGATATTGAAAATGTCCCCTTTCGTTTTATTTATTTATCATACAGCCTTTATTTAATTTATAACCCTTTCTTATGTAATTCACTTAAATCCAACTAACAGTTTTAATTATGAAGACAAAAATATTTCAGTTGTGGTGTGTACTACTGATATCAATCGAAAGTGGAATATCTGGTACCAAAAGGTTGATGAAATAGAAAAAAGAGAACAAGACACAGAGAGTAATTGGTATGGAAATGAAGGGACAACAAAGTCTGAGACAATTGTTGGGTATTGTACAATTAAAGCATTTATTGTATGGTTCTCAGACTTTAATAAGATGTTCTGAAATGTTGTACTAAATTACATTTTGTTGTCCCAGCCTATATTCACTTTCACTATATATTTTTATATTAGTTTAAAGTATGTACTATGTGATACTTATATCGACATAAATAGTATATAACGCTAGTCAAGAATAAAATGTCTGGCAGCAGAAAGTCAAGAAGATCAAGGAGGAAAGAACGGGCAAACAAGGCAGTTGCTATCGAAATGCAGGAACAATGAATTATGAGACCTTTGACTGATATTTGCAGAAGGAACAACCAACTCTGAAACAATTGATTGACATTTTGCAAATGAAATAAGTACTGAATGATCCTCAGATTTTACTAAGATGTACTGTAACATTGGGTTTATATATATTCCATTATCCCCACTTGTGTTCTCAATAATAACAAGTACAGTTAAAATATCATATATCATTTTCCCTATGTCAACCATTATATGGTTGTTAGCTTACATATATAGTTCATGAACGACATACATTGATTTGAATTTTATTAGATCTGTTGTAAATGACCTGAATAGTTTTGAAAGCTAACAAACAGTTAAGACTTAACTAGATGCCTAGAACGTGAGTTACGTATGCCCAACCACCGACTGCCACGACCGGCGATGTTCTATGGTGTAGAAATAGGTTGGAAGAAAGCTAGGGTCGGCCAGACCAAAATATGACACAAATTCAACAAGTCAATGGCAAGTGGAATGAACCATGTTAGTAGGTGTAGACTACCTGGTTCTGGGAATCCGCTAGACAATAACAACCGGTGGTTAGAGACCTTGAATTATTTGGCTCAAAATCGTTTGCCATGGTTCAGGTCCATCCACTATTTGAGTTCTCTCAAATTCTAATCTTCTGAATTATTCAAGTCCCCATTTTTCTTCTCTTTCCAAATTTATTCCACTGAATTATACTCCTTGAATAACATCATCAAATTCTAATCTTTCCGATTACTGCTTATACATTCACTAACTCTACTACTATGGGATTTGAATCGACAATTGTATCACTGTGCTAATGTGGTATACCAACTTGAACTGATGTACGTACGTACGAAGTTCTACCTTGTGACTTATTGACTGACTGAGTTAAGGCTCATGTATTTTAATATACAACTATTGTAAATATTTGCGAACCTACCAAATGGAATATTTAAACGATGATCACAGTAGGTCATAAAAGGTTCTTTGAAAAATGTCTCCATTGGCTGTATTAAAAGAAGAATCATTGTAAACCAATTAAATGACTGTACAAAATTACTAAGTGGATTATTTACTTAAAACTAATTGAAAATAACATTTTGAGTATACGAAGATCATCTATGTGGAATATGTATGCTAATTCATAAGAACATGGGAAGGAAGGCTAAGGAGAGAGTGAGTTAGAGAATGCTGGTCATCTCCATTGGGAGAAACAGGCGTCAGTAAGTAATTAAAAAAGTAAGCAAGTAAGTTCATAAGAACAATTGTTCATGAGGTAAATCATGAATTATCTATTGATATGAATAGAGAAACAAGAAGCTATGAGTAACTATGGAAGCTACTTTTTGGGCACATTATTTCATTTCATTCAAATCTTGTAAAACAGTAACATTTATTTTTATCACTAGTCTGCTCTACACATCATAAGCTTTCGTTCGATGTATGATTCAATACCATAGCCTCCTCGGTTCCTAAGGTAATGTAATTTAAACATAATATTTTGTACTCTACTTTCTACTCTAATCTCCAGTTTTGAACATAATTGTATTTTCCTAATTATTGTACGTTGTGGTCAGATTAGCCATCTATCTTTTACACTAATCTATGAATCGTGATCCAGATCGGAATTGGGAATAAATCGAGTAGTGTTCCAGTTGACTAGTCTTCTCTCTCTCTCTCTTTCTCTCTCTTTGTATAAATACTCATGTATATTAGAGTAAAGCCTGATGACGATCTAATGGAAAACAATTTCCTTAATACCTTGTTGTTTAATCATTTATTTGTCTACTTATTTATTTCAACACATAAATATTGGTAAAAAGTGGGCACCGAATACATATGCACCACAAAAGTCACTTGATTTGTGAGTGGGCTGTGATACTGCCCGGTTGTCCAGACCGAAACAGGTTGTTTTTCTTAGTGCGCCACACTCTTCGTTGAAGTATGATAAGTTATGATTAGATTGGTGATTTGTGAAGATTGTAGCAACTTGAATAGTTAAACTCATGAGTCGATATATACTAGACTACCATTGAAAACTTGGGATAATTGGACAGCCGTTTCGTACTAGTATGTGAATCTTCAGCAGTGTGGGTCCGCGATTCGAACCCAGGACGTTCAGTCTCGCACGAATATGATTACCCTCCAGACCACTGAGCCGGTATCCAACAATCTTAATCTCTAACTTCCATCAAACCATGAATGGTTGCTCAACTATTATTATATTTACAAAAATCTCAGAATTCAGATTTTGAAAATTCAATGTTTCGCTTAACAATTTAGTCCAAGCATTTTGAAGCACATTTTTACAAACATAACACTTTTCAGTGGTTGAGATCATAAACAAATTGAAGCTAGACCACAATGGGAAACCTGGAGGCACTGGACGGCTGGTTTGTCCTATTTCAGGACTCCTCAGGAGTGAGCATTCACAACCCCGCCTCACGAGATTCCAAAATTTTACGCAAATAAATGATTGTCATGAGTTTATCTTGCCATTTAAAGTAATAAATAAAACGAAGATGGATAGATATTTTCACTCAACCTATATAGAACATGATTTTCGAACAATTAAGTAAAGCATATTGGATTAGAACTAAACAATAAGAAAATACTAACCTGAACAGTGGGGCATCTATCTGTCAATGTACTGGTACCTCCAACATTAGGATTACCTTTGAAATATTGTTCTTCTGGTGGTAACAAACTCTTATATTTTCCCATAGCACAAATCCCAAAAGCCTTCTTATGATAGCACGTTAAAGAACCCGTTTCATCACAGTAAGGTTCTATGCTTTTCCCTCTGAAATAAAATGGACATTGTAACCACTTAAAACCTATTTAATATATAAACTGAGATTACTGGTAACAAGGTCATGATTTTAAAAATATTAATATTATCAATAACTCTGCCTGCATCCCCTCTGGGGCTACTGCCGGTCCCAAGCCCGGATAAAGGAGGATGGTTTGGCATGGGGTTAGCGACCCTATCCCATAGAAAACTAACTCGCTAAACAAACGCTAACCAGAAAAAATATTATCAATACTATTACTACTAAAACTACTACTAATGACAATAATAGAAAACTTAGCGGTAAGTTTAAATCATGAGTAATATATTGAAATAATTGAATAAATCTTACGCTTGCTTCATTCGTGCCATATATGCATAACAGCTTCCCATGACGAAGTTACAACCTAAATCCTTTCCATAATGCCATTCTGAAGCAACTGAATAATCGACATCCCACCAGCTTCATTCAAATCAAAACAATATATTCAATAAATAAATGAAATGAAATGAAATAAAATGGCAAGACTATAATTTATGGATGAAGCAATCAGATTCAAGATAACAGGTCACAGATTTTGGTGCGAATTTCACACGTCCATTTGGATAAATAAAGTTTTGGCATAATAGCTAATGATGAAAACCATAAATCTAATTCCGAACGCTAACTACCAACTGTCAATCATAATTGTAATTCCTCACACTGGTTTATAAATCTCATTTGATCCTAGTTATAAGGTGAACACTCTCAAGGTCAGTTTAGCATCACTCAGAGGTTGTTCATAAATTGTAATCTCATCTAAATTTGCGTTTTCGGATGGTGATTGGAAATTGAGCTAATTTAACTGTCAGAACAAATAAGTGGTAAGAATTGTAAAGTTGATACATCTTATGTCATATTACCACAAAACAAATTTGCGAAATGATTCAAAATACACAATAAATTATCAGTATAGGGTTGTGGAGATTATTAAGTTTTTGATCGAGATCATAAACCGATTGATGTTAGATCACCATTGAAAACCTGAAAGCGTTGGACGGCTGTTTCGTCCTATTGTGAGACTACAGAGCAGTGCGCATTCACGATCTTGTTCTCGCGCGCAACTGCTTAGCCTGTAGACCACTGAGCTGGACGGCATCCAACGGTGTTAATGTCTAACGCCAAACAATCCACGAAATTGTGTGACCATCTTCCATTGTAATGAGGTAGATACCTGTCTCTACCTGACACGGATTAGCTCCACAATAAATATACTCAAGATTCTCGATTGAAACATTTACGATACATTTAATTATATTAATTTACCCTGAATCTGTGAAGAATGCTAATGTTAATGCTGAAAGTACACTTTTCACTCCTGTCTCACCAGCCATTGTTTCATCCTGTAATAAACATAAACAAAGTGAACAGAATTAATCATTCGAATTACATCACCAGATCGTGCTTGTTTCTAAGTTCCCGTACATTTCAAATATTCATTCAAACAACTTGACTTCCCAGAAAACAGCCAAATTTATTCATCATATCATGTTGTTTACTTAATAATTAGAGAGTCTTTAGTATTGATCGAATTCCATGAATTAGTTCACGATGTATTACTTAATCTAAATAACCTGACATCTCATGTTTTATGTTTCGATAATTGACGATTGAGAGCATTCGACAAGAAGATTTAGACTTAAGTTTCATGCTAATTGACATTTCACCAGCTCAAATCCCAGAAAGATAACATGTTAATCAGAATTATGTATGTCATTCCATCTTACACGTACCGAATATCAAGAAACACCAATCTTCGATTGTTGTCGAGTCTTTTTCTTCATATTACCTCATCTTCGAACTTTTCATTGTGATACGTTAAATAAAATAACAGTACAATATAGGCTACTGACTGATAAATCATGGGTTGGATTCTCGCGAGGCGGGATCGTGAATGTGAAATGCTGAGGAGTCTCACAATAGGACGAAATGGCTATCCAGTCCTTCCAGGTGTTTCATAGTGGTCTAGCTTCAATTGAATCACGATCTCAACTATTAAAGTTACTTCACAGTAAATCAGACGAGTGGTGCTACTGAAACATTATAACAGAAGGACCAAGAGACGATTACAAAATGATCTTTTGCTACAGATGAATAATTGCTTTACTTACACCAACTGTTCGCTTCTCAAAATGTGAATCAGCCGTTCCTTCTCCACCTTCATTCTCTATCTCGATCCCATCCAATTTAGGGCAGTTGTAATGTTTGCGTCCTACCGCCTAATTGAGAATAAATAATTTTTTGATTGAAAATAATTCCTTATCAAATCAAATAATACGTATTAAGTGAAATAAGATTTTCATTCAAAACCATTCTCAGTTAGGTATATAGAGTTGAATATATGAGTTGGGAAAAACGACAAGGTGTATGTACATTGGCAAATGGAATATTTCGGAATAGCATAACGACAAAAGAAATGTCTAGATCAAAGAATGAGACTGAAAGTGCTAATATCTGTTGTTAAGTCATCTGATGTTTTCTATACACTTTATGTGATTATAAGTTAGAAGTAGTATGGCTTAATTTTTAAAAAATATTACTTATTCGATAATTAATCCTTATAATATTTCAAATCTTTAAATATATATTCGTCAATCTAGAATGCTTCAGTTCATTCTTAAGCATTGTGAACATTTCTAGATTGTAGATTCAGCAACAGCCAACTATGGGAGAGAACAAACTTAGATTCCAACTGAAGAGGAAATGAGGAAAAGATGACGGAAATTGATAGGACATGCATAACGGAAATCACCAAACTGCATCACGAAACAAGCGCTAAATTGGAATCCTGAAGAGAAGCGGAAAAGAGGACTGACAAAGAACATATTACGTCTGGAAATACAAGTAGACATGAAAAAGATAGATAAGAACTGGAAAGAGCTGAAAGAATTGTCCAAGAGGGGATTGGATGGAGAATGCTGGTGGGCGGCCTATTCCCCTCCACGAGGAGTAACAGGCGTATGTAAGTAAGTAAATAAGTAATTAGTTTATGAGTAACGAATACACATTTCGATTGCACTGAGTGTTAACTTGACACTAAAACTTACCAGTAATGTCGGTGTAACAAATGCTAAGACAGGTTTTATAAAAGATCCAGCAGCTGTATGCCAGGGACGACCAATACGTCTAACAGTAATGTCACTGAAATGGAACACAAACATTTTATTTAGAAAATGTAATATGAAGACATGATTGAATGTAATTTGCGTAGAAATAATATATACATGTATTTCATCATTTTTTAGGGGGTGGTGTTGTACATTGTCTTTTCTTTTTACTGCTTATCTAACTAATTCATCATAGAAGGAGGGTGGTCGGGCATGAGGTTAGTGACTAACTGGTTAAAAAAGCGCTAACCAAGTTATCGTTTAGTTGTCTTCTATTGAGAAATCTGTTTATGTAAAAGTCGTGAGTGAATTAACTCTCGAATTATATTAAGATCATTAATAAGTTGAAAATTATCAAAGTGTAGATCATAATAAACTTATTACTTTCTCTTAAACTTTGCTTATCAAAATGACCACGTCTAATCGACATGTTCGATAAGGAACTTCTATCAATCACTGTATTTTCATCAATATATTCGAACCTCTCTACTTCCAACATGTGTATTTCGTCTTCACAATAACATAACGGTTGTATATTTACTAACTTACTTCAAATAGAGGAACTATAATCTCTATATTAGAGACTTGATATTAGTACTCGGTTCCTTATAATATTCTCCTATTTAACTGAGTTTAATTACTTTAAACTTATTTCATTCATCTCTTCAATTAAAGCATCTTTCTTAAGTAGGCGAAAATACATGAATCTGTAGTGGTAAAAGCATATACTCAGATTTTTGATTCATATTAATCTTCACAGGATCCTTACTCATCTTGTTGAGCTAATGAGGTATGACAACTTGGACCGATGCTTTGTCCTACGTTGTAGCCGATTGACTGACTTACTCAGAACAGATCTTAGTGATTCAACTAATGAATTTTTCGAATCAAAAATAATCGTTTGCAGATTTAGGTGATAAAACGTGAACAACCAGTTGATTTGTTGACTATACTTATCGTTTAAAGGAAAATGTCATCTAATAGTTGAGTGAAGCAAAGTTCGGTCCACTTGATTATTATAAATAACATACTAGAAGAAACTAGAAATCGATAAAAAACTTTGAAAAGAGTTAGGATAAAACTCTAATCACAAAACAATAAGTCACCTTGTAACATACTGCCTTTGAGGATTCAATGGTGGTTTACCTGTTTTGGGATCTCTTGGTGTCAATGGTCTGCCGTTTAGATCACGCATCAAAGGGAAATTCGACTTAGAGAATCCCTAAAATATTCAATAGTTTAATTTCAGTAAAATTATAATAAATGTAAGAATAGGAGGTTTAACATGGTGATCTTTCAAGTTCTATGTTACAAGTTATTATATAGTGCACTGCCCAGGACAGAGTGGGTTGGAGAATACTGGTCGGTGGCCTTTGCTCCATTGGTAGTAACAGGAGTAAGTAAGTAAGTAAGTAAGTTCAAAGAGCCTCATGATACTCATTAAAACAATTATGCGATTTACAAGAAAAATGACAATTAGTATTGAAATCATAGGCTGGTGGACGATATAATCAAAATTCTATTAAGACAGTGTACATGATGCGACAAAGTAAATTACTTTTATCAAATAGTAAATTATTATTATTTGTGGAAAAACATAAACATTAGTATAAGAAGGCACCAAATAGATATGCACCACATAAATCTCATTTGATTTGTGTGAGGGCTGGGGTACTGCTCGGGTGCCGAAACCGAAATAGGTGGTTTTATTAGGAGGCGATACCCGGAGCCTTTGACCTAAATGCCTGATCCACATGGCAGTGAAGCAACGTCAGGAGATGCGGTCTCTTGGTAGTCGGTGATCAACGATTAGTTCACACGCCATTCATCCTCTCAGGATCCTGGAATACATGTGCAATATTCGTTTAGAATCAGGGTTTTCCAACTACCCTATATGAACTCTCTATGTTCACCAACCCAGTTAATGCGCCGAAAATTCGCTTTCCGTACTCTCAAATTTGCAATCAACACTCCCACCGTGAGAAGGCAGTGATTAGTACTTGCCTGGTAGTGGTTGTATGCACGGTTGTAGGCCATGTGATAGTATTTCGAGGGAGAGAGAGAGGGAGCTGACTCTCCCTACTCTCGGCTGTATTAGAGCACTTGAGGGCTATCAACTAGAAATGATCTCACATTTTCGAAATGAAATTTATTAATAACCTATTTTGGATATAATGTAAGTTTAACAAAGCAGCTTTCGTTTAAATATAAACACTCACCAAAGCATGAGCCATTTCATGAATAGCAGTACCAACCATCATAGTTCTTCCTGGTTCTTCTATGTCCATCTTTTCTGGACAGAAGTTGATCATTCCCATAATTGGTCTGAAGTTAAAATACATATGGAACTTAAATACAATATGTTACCATAACATGTTGCTTATGTAGACAGATCTTGTGGTAGTACATTATTCTTATCAATTTGGTTCAATAATATTATGTTTCTTATCAAACCAGTTGACTAATTCTTCTTATTTTATAGATTTTCCATTGTGAACTTCAATGATCAGAACCCTATTTGTTAGCATATACATTCAGAATATTTTCAAATTAAATCAAATTATTGGGAATTTAGGTAAAGAAGAAAGGGATGGTTTTCATTGACGGTGTTAAAACCCTTCACTCTCATCGATTATGAGGACATATACAATAGTAAACTGTTCGCTCACTGTATAAATAAAAATTTAATGTCATCGTTTAAACGGATTGATTGTTTTCTAATCTCATGATCCAATCAAATGAATAATTACTAACCTGTCAGTTGTAGGGTGCGTTTCACATGCACCAGCATAAGCCAATGTTCTACCTGATAAGCAACCATGTTCATTCACACTTGAGACAAAAACAACATATTGATTTGGTGCAAATCCTGAACCATCTCGATAAACTTCTCTGAGAGATCCAACACCAGATCCTACAGAGCATCCCTATTCATGAAAATGGAGAGAAAAAATACTGGTTATTAAAACGTATATAAATATAAGTACACTGTTTCCTGCACTACTGTCTAGTGCTTCACTCAGTTAAACATAATACTATCACTACTTCAGGTAGTTCTGTTTCACAATTACAGTCCAAATATGATGTTACGTTTAGTTTCAGTATTAATTTTTCTCACGTTCGTGTTGATTCAACTTCTAGTTTCAATACAGACGTAGTCAATTAACATCACAGTTTTGATGACTCCTTAACGACAATAAACAAATGGCAGGTGAAATGCCAGATAGTCACACCATTCAAAGTCACTAGATTACATTGTAGTTGATGAAAGAGCTTACGAAATGATAGTTGATGATCAATGGTAAAAGACATCAGCTCAATTAAATATTAAAAACCACATAAACTCACTGAGCGATAATTTGAGGAAATCACTTACATCCAGGAATGCATCTTGTCATTATAGTTCAAGGTAACTATAATTCTCATAATGATAAGCTTGGTGGATGGAACTGCAGTGTCAGTTGCTAAACAAAGCCCACATAGCTTATTCTAGCTTCCGGATAAGCCAATTTATTCATCCTTCTTGAGTCACATTTTGACCTTGTGAATTATTCACTTATCAACCTTGATTGTTTTTATGTCAGCGTATTTGTGTGCATTTCCTATCTTACTCATCACATGTCTGTAGCTTATTTTTGTTCGAATATAAATATTGATCTACGCTTTACTAAAGTGAGTTGGCTCACTTACTTTTTCTAATCTGCTTCGTTCTTCCCTCTTTGTTTCGTCTCCTTGATTGCCTGTTCAAACCAATGAGTGCATGAAATGAACATATTCCAAATCGATTCTCGTATATGGCTTATTTAATTCTGTTATTGACTAACGCGGATTAGGTCGATAATTACACACGAGGATAGCCGACATTTCAACAGCAATCCTTCAATAATAATCATCTAATTGGTGTGAGATTCAGGGTCACTAAAATGATCAGCCTGTCAACAACATCATCCGATCTAATTGATGTCAAACTAACAGGTCGTTGATTCATTCAAGGTGATAATCCAACATTTGTGTAATAAACTACTGTCAGAATCGAAAACCCCGACGATATTTGCAACTGTTCAGTACTGTTGTTATTTCTTAGTTCGGTAAGTTTATCAGTCTTTTTTATACATCAATTTTAATTAAAATACTTAAGTTTTAAAGAACAGTGAATTTTGTATTAAACTAGCTGTGATGAATGTCAACTTTAAAATTGTCTGACATTTTAAATGCATAATACAATTCTAATTATCGTAATTATATACACTCGTATATCTCAACTGTACAAAAGAACGACAATAAAATCAGTAGTGTGTTTATTCACTAGTGACTAGCTTCATGAGGGAATTCTCAGAGTTCTAGTGTGAAGCCGTTACCAGTGAAACTAATCCGTGTCGGGTAGAGACAGGTATCTACCTCATTATCATAGAAGGTGGTCGCGCAATTTTCTGAATTGGTTAAAGTTAAACATTAACACCATTGAATGCTGACTCATTTATCTAGAGATTAAGCCATGCGTTTGAATCCCGCTTACGGGATCGTGAATACCCATTGCTGAGCAGTCCTATTGTCTTATTCTCAGTTTAGTTTATATGACAAGAGTGTTACAAGAAAGTGTATAATTTATTCAAAGATTTAATTCTAAACAATCTATGGACAAAAATTTATTAGTTTTATATCAAAATTGTAAAACATGATGCCTTATATGTACTCATCAGTCATTAGATACTTACATTTCGATTACAAATACATCATTGTTTTGACATTAACTTCATTATCTGATTTAAGTCACATAAAAATGATTGAAATCTTATTCTGATGCCTACTAATTGAAATATTTTTGACTAAAACTTACGGAGGCATATTCCTCTGGAATTGGATGGTTGTAGCATGTAGCTTTTGGTTTACATTGTGATTTACAAAATATTTTACCCGTTGTTAAATCTCGAAAGAATGATTGTTCAACACATCCTCTGAAAGAATAATATCAAATATACAATAGTTAAAAATCAATCAACATACTGAAATGGTTTATGGTGAGATGAGAAGAAATGAGAAGTAAAACTCCATAGTAATCTTGTGGACATCATTCCAAACTGATACGGAATATGGGAATTAGATTCTTGTTTGAAGTATTGATTATCATACAGTTCATTAAAATGAAATTTGAACGAGGTATTTTCTATTAATAAATTGATAATCACTATTTCATAGTAATAAGATCGTTTTAAATTATGAAACAACAACTGTAAAATTCCTCAAAATATCAATATGAGAAAGGGTTTTTGTGGACGTCCATTTAGTCGTATTGTGGGACTCTTTGGCGGTGCGCATCCAAGATCCCGTTTCGCAAGATTCGAACACACAACCTTCCAGTGCTTCTAGGTTTTCTATGATGGTTTAGCTTCAATTGACTGATGATCTCAACGATTAAAATTGCGAAATTTGCGCTTAAACAGCTAGAATTGTACTAATAATTATATACTAACCTTTCTGCAAGCAGCTTTCTGTTTGGTGGTCTTCTTACACTCAATGCTCTCTCCCAGAATCGAAAAGCTACGTCTATTACTTCCCTCTAATATAAAAAAACAAAAATAAGTTATAATACTTTGAATGTTTTCATTAAGTAAAACTAATCTCTTATAAAGTTGAGCAATTCAAAGATTCCCGTATCCATCTTCACATGATGTAAGTAGAATAAAAAAACAACAGTTTTGTCCTTTCACAATATAGTTGGTGATGGACAGTAGTCAACGATTTCCAGGAATAGATAGTTAGCTCTGAAAAAATACCTATTACCATTCAAATTATTCACTTTAATAGATGGATATTATAGTGAAACTATGCGTGTTAATACTTACGAAGTCGATGAATCTTCTATAAAACTTGGATTAAATTCAAATTGGTAAATTGTTCTATAACTAATGTGAGTACACTTCATTGTGCTAATTCTGTTAAGCACATTGGTAAAATGAACAACCACAATACCAATAATGATGACAACATGTTATCAAACACAATATAACATCAATATGATGATACACCCAAGATATAGAAAGTCAACATAATCAATTTAGAAACAACTATGGAAACCCTCTTAAAATTCCCATTACTATTTTATAGACTATTATTATGGTATTCATTCGTCCAACTGCTTCCAGACATTTCTCCAACTACCTTAACATCAGTGTTCACACTGAAATATCCTGACAAGTCTACAATGAAAGTTGATTTCAAACACGATCAATGTTGTTCATCCTTGATGCAAATCCAATAATGCGAATACTACTGGCAAGAATTTATATGGTTAAACTAGGAGATTGTTCGACACTTTATTTAATGCATTAGCAACATATCCACACAATGATGACACAAAACGTGATTCACGTGGTTCATTCAACAAAATAATTGATAAATGAAAGAAGAAGTGAACAACAGTAAACACTCTTACCTTGAAATCATTAAATAATCGGTGCCTTCGAATACTTTCTGCGTATATCACAACAAACTTCAGTCCATCACCTCCATATTGACGTTTATCAATCGGCTCACCTAGGACACCGGAATTCTGAAGAGACATTCTCTTAAAAATAATCATACTTACCAGAGTGATGTTTGGCATAAGTTGACAAATATATTCATTTCTAACAAATGCCAGTAAGCAAATAAAGCATAGAAACACTAAGATATGTCTTAAAGAATATATCATTCTCATTGAACACTTTGAACTCAATAGAATACTACTGGATGGATGGTATGAATTTCATGAATTCATTATCTTGTTTATATACTTAAATTAAATGTTCACTCATCAATGAATAACTGGTTAAACTAATATCGGTTTCAGACTATTTTTTTCATAAATATAACCTTTTAATATTTGAATGTGATCTGTCCTTTATTCAAATTATTATACAATTTTGGTACCTCTTTTTATAAAAAAAGATGAAACTCTTTTTAGGAAACCGATTGTAAGTAGTGTGTGTTTGTTGACCTATCTACACTATGAATCCATGAAATTTACATTTACAATTTGAGTTCAAAGAAAGAAAGAAAGAAAGAGAGAAAGTAGAAGAAAACAAAACATTCTAAGGGTTCATCACTCAGTTAGAACCAACAACCTACTACTGTTTTATTTATTTTTTGATTAATAGTAAATTTCTTAATCAAAATTCAGTTTTACATCCTCTTTGAAGCTTCAAAGCGAATCAAATTAGATGATTGTTTTCCAATCAAATTAGATGAACAATCAGTAATACTGAATGAATGAGTGAATGATAGTCATTATGAATGTATTTATCTGTATAAAATGGGATAATCTTATTGTGAAACAGATTCACTCTACTTGGTCACATGAATCTTTTAAGGTTTATTCTTAGCTCATTAATCATTTGTAACTGAATAAACAATCAATAGGTTTCTGATTAACTTCCCAAGACTTCAATATTTTGTACTAATTATAGAATTACAAAGTCTGATTACTTCATCTGAAAAGAGTTAATACATTTCGAGCAATGACCGACTTACAGCATGTGCTTCCAGTAAACATATATGATTTAAAAATACTTAGTGGAGAAAACACTAATTAGACATAATTATCGTCTAAGTATTAAAGATGAAGTTCAGCTAAGGTTCCTCTATTTAACGAATTTATTTTTAAGTTATATATGTTTTATCAGAATGGGTTTTGTGGAGAATTTTAGAAATTTCACAGGTCGAAATCATGAGTCAGTTGAAGCTAGACCACCATTGAAAACCTGGAAGCACTGGACGGCCGTTTCGTCCTGGTATGGGACTCCTCAGCAGTGCGCATCCACGACCCCGCACCACGCGGGGCTCGAACCCAGGACCTACTGGCTTCGCGCGCGAGCACTTAACCACTGGCTCAGTGGTCTAGTGGTTAAGTGCTCGCGCGCGAAGCCAGTAGGTCCTGGGTTCGAGCCCCGCGTGGTGCGGGGTCGTGGATGCGCACTGCTGAGGAGTCCCATACCAGGACGAAACGGCCGTCCAGTGCTTCCAGGTTTTCAATGGTGGTCTAGCTTCAACTGACTCATGATTTCAACCTGTGAAATTTATATATGTTTATTCACTGATTATATAACCTCAGAGAAAATTATAAGTCAAACTCAAGGGGATATGAGAGATCATTAGAGTGAGGAGCTAAGTGGATAACGCAATGGCGTTTAAAGCGAACGGTACTGGGTTCGAGCCCTGAAGTGAATATCAACTCAGGTGCAGGTATACTCAGCCGACGAGTATCGAATAGGATGAAACGCATGTCCTGAGTCCTACTGTTAGCCACTACTCATTTTTGCTTATAGAACTTGTGGCTTAAGACAATATCGAGCCAATCTGCACAGGATGCACATATTCCAATAAGAGACTGGTCAATCGGAGTGATAAACATCAATGTGAAGATACAACCAAACACCATCAAGAGAATTTAGAGAGAGGAGTATTTTCAAATTCCATATTCATCAAATGAAAATGAAATAATGATAATAATAGTTTAAGGTCATGGGAAATACATCGATAGAAATCATTTGTTTTTTTTAGCACAGTTACAGCTTAATTTCATGGAAGGCAAGAGCTTCTTCTATTTTAATAGGCTGAATAAAATGAAATATTAATAAAGTTGGACGGATTCTATGGACAACGGTAATATCAACCTGTCGATCATTGGAGTGATCAGAATCTATTAAATATTCAAGAATAGAACTCTTAACTACTATCCTCTTATCTGTGTAGAACTACACTGAGATATGTTGTTGTACTCACGTTGGAGACAATCTCTGGCTACAGACTATGTACCTCGCTCCATATGAGCAGGTAAATTTGTAAATCTCTATAGAGGAGTGGAGATGCCAAAGCTTATCCTTAACGCATGCGAAAAATAAATTCCTGCTAGTGATTGCTAGTCGTAGCCATTTTGCATATAATGCTTTCTTTAATTTCTCTGAACAAATTATTCTTCAGTACATCAGAAGTTTGATCACCTCTTTGAGACGGGATATCTGGATTTCTTGTTCTGACTCTCCCTCGAATTTTTATCTACGAAGAGACTAGGATAACCGTTTTTAGTTAATATTTCACTGAGGAAACGAAGTTTTTCCTAAAAGCATTCGATACAACACATCCCAAATAGATGGTAAAACAGGAAGTGCATAAGATTCCATCTATAGAATTCGGTTAATTAGCCATCCCATATTTGTTTTCTATAGATGGACCTCTTTAAGGATCCATCACTCTTCCTTGTAAAGCACGCCGAAAAATTAGATAAAATGACTTGCTTCATTTTTCTAACGTGAAACATAGGGAAGAATAGCAGGTGAGTAATGAATGAATGAAAAATGTAGAATAAGTCAAAATTCTAGTAGCCCTTGATGTGTCTTCCACTATACTCTCTATTATGTTGCAACCAGAGTAATGTGCTTGATCTAATGCTACTTCACTTCCAGTTTGTATGATGTCTTTGCTAATTTATTCCACTGATGATTAGATTTCGTCCACATGGATGTCTCTATATTTCTCTTTCGTTTCTTGTGGGTTCAGCGATGCTCACGTGTTCCAGAGCTATTCAAAATACCTTGCCACCAGTTCTGCCTCTCTTGACTGATCTTTCTGGTTCTCTATATTTATCTTCAAGTTTCTTAGTTGCATCACATAATTCTGTTATGTTCCCTTCTTTTATAGCTTCTTCTGTTGTAGTTGCTAAGTCTCTCACTTACTTCTACTTGTCAGTTCTAGTGCTACTGGTTACTTGTTTGTTTATTTCCGTATATTCGGTCCGTAGCTTTACTTTCTCTGTATATATTCGATTGTTGTGGACTGCTTTTTTAACACTTTTCCTTCCTTAGATCCTATCCAGGCTGTCTACAAAAATCCATTGTGTTCTCTGATGCTTCTTGGGACCTATATCCCATAGTATGTTGAAATCATTGTTCCCTTAAACCCTTTCCAGTTGTTTTTTACTATGGTTTCCTCTCATTATAGTAGATCTTGTAAGACTTGGAGCTTGTTTTTGTGACCTAACTTTAGTTTGCCAATTTTGTTATCATTTCAAAGGAACGTTGTATTAATTTTTTGTAATGCTACTTAACCAATTATCGTATTCCTCTTTAGTGGTAAATGATCTGACTTCGATGTGTATGAACTAATGAATGCTCCATGAAGATAAAGCCTCCTTTTGATTTTTCTTATCACGCCTAGGCTAACCCTGTTAGTGCGACGGCTATAAGAAGAAGCGAAATATCAATCAAATTAGGTGGATTTATTTCAGGCATGAGTTTACTAAAACAGAGATTAAAATTGAACTGCTGGAAAGTGAGCGAAGAGAACAGGAGAAGGCAAGAGTGCCAACTGTATTTGATAAAGCGCGACTTACTATATACAGTCGGAGAGAATCAAGCCAAATCATGCGATGAGTAGAGTATTTGATACATACACACGCTCAAATATAAACAGCAGAGGTTATACACGACTAATTAACAAGGTCAAAATATTTGTGGATTATAACTTGAGCAAAATACATAAATTGGTTTGTCCGCAAGCTAGAACAACCCATGTGAGCGTAACATGGTACCGGATACTAAACATTAATAGCTTTAGCTTGAACACTAGCAGTTCATACTCTGAAGCTATAGCATCTCCTCTCATTGCCCTTACATCTTCCATAGACCTAAATATTTATTGATGCAGATGTGGTCGATCTGGTTCCCCGTGGTGTAGCCTATGTAAATTTGTGTATACGTTTGCGAAATTAGATGCTTCCACTTCCAAACATGTTACTGTAAGCTGACTCCAAACGTTTTTCCTTCATCCGTGTATTGAACCGGCAATAACTGTAGAACGGCTTCGGGAGGATTTGACTTACATTCGTGAAATATCGAATATGGTATTTTTAGTTATCAAAACTCATTTCACCTCTTAGAACATATTCTTTTCTTGTCACACTGATTGAATTTGTAAGTGGAAATAAATGTTTTTCGGCGTTACACAAGTGAATCAATAACTGTTGTCGGTAGAACATACCCCAATGTATGATTGAACATTTCTATATCATTGTGAGCTATACAATAGTACTAAATTTCTCAGTTTAAAGCCCATAATGAAAAGCTAACTGTTTGAATACAACTGATGATTAGTATTTGTGAGGAGATGGTAGAAAAACAGATTTTATAATCTATGAAGTTTGATCTTAAATATTATTCATATAAAACCTTAGTACAACTAGTAGTATCATATATATATATATATATATATATATATATATATATATATATATATATATATCCTAGACATTACTCATATTAATTGTTTACTTTATCATTATATTCAAATTACTTGGAATAATATCAGAAAGGGTTTTGTGGGTATTAAAGTAATTTTAATGGTTGAGATCATGAGTAAATTGAAGCTAGACGACGTTGAAAAACCTAGAAGCACTGGATAGCCGTTTCGTCCTATTGTGAGACTCTTCAGCAGTGCACATAAAATACAAAAATTTTCATCCCAGGAGAATATCTGTTTGCAAAATTAGCTAATTTTGCCTTGAGTTATTTCAATTGGGGTAAACATTAT